ACGGGCATCCAAGACCCCCATTTGGATGGGTTGGTCTTAAACCGAATTTTCTTGAAATGTGCGTGGGAGAGTTTTATGACTTCATTTAGCCACGGGAGGCTCTTAATGGGTGGGGAATGACCTATAAACATCACAATGATAAACAAATGTGTGTTATATTAATACTGATGCCACCCAAAAATGAGCCCTGTCGGGTAGGGCTGAATCGATACCAACTCTAGTTCAGTGCTCTCCCAGGAGATTCTAATGGATGTTTGGGACTACGATTGTCAATACATGCATTAAGCAAGGTTCTATAGTGCCCAAGCTGACATCTTACACATACGACATACAAAATTATGCCAACAACATAAATAACAAGAAATTGGGACATGCAATTTGAACAATAAAAAGGAATGATTCATTATGTACATATATAAAACTGAGGCTTAAAAATGCAGTGTTTCCCAGGCTTCATCTAGTCTCCTATCAAGATTGCAATTCCCTAATGCCAATATGTATATTTCACTAGGTTATTATGTGTTAACCATATATTGTTGTAAGTTAAGTAAGTCAATTATGCAAATATACATGTTGACTAAGTGATATGAGAAAAAAACCTGCGTATTGATCCAGCGACGAAAGTGTCACCACCCGATCCGAGGCTTGGAATTAACCATAATGGAAATGGAGGGCCAGATGGTGAAAAACAATTTTCTTATATTTTATTTATATTGCTAACATTTTAACATTCAAATATTCATGAAAAAGTCACTAAAGAAATAATTAAAATTAACAAATATAATTTTTGTACCTTTTCTGTTTGTTGTTCTCATCTCCTGCACACATTATCTCCTATTCAACTCATCTTAATCAAAAAATTAAAAAAAAAGTTAAAGTAACATAATGAGTTGTTTAGAGAGAACCCATTAGTAACCACACTTATAAACTACAGTAACTCAAGGGTCAAAATTCAATATGCATGCTGATCTTTCATATCTCTTTAAGAAATTTTAGAATATGTTAATCTTTCACATATCTATAAGAAATCTTTGAATATACATTGCATATATCAATGATCTTTTATAAATGAAAATACTTGAAATTTCTATATGCATTTACTTTCACTTTTCTTTTACTTTGTATTCATTACATGCACATCTATCTGCTTTGAGGATCACTGTCAAAACAACCTAGCACACCCTTAGCCGATATTGCCTCGTCGGCTCAGGTTGGCAACAGTCAGTGTTGTAAACATCACAATTGTCTAGAGTGGAAATACCCATACTATCTTCCGGCCAATATTATCCATTGACATAGCGGTTAGCGATCTATATATCATAATTGTTTGAGGAGATGAGCTCTCTCTACTAGTCCATTACCAATATTATCAATAATTTACTATTTCAGTAAATTAAGGGTCCGTTTGGGGCAACTTATAAGTGCGGGTGGCTTTTTCAAAACATCGTCTCACCGTTAAGAAAATACGTTTCGACAGCTTATCCAAAAATGCAGTTGAGTTTTTACACTAAATGTAGGCCGGGGGTCGAACCCGACGGGTCGCATTTCAGGATAAGCTGCTTATCTGGATAAACACAAGCTGCCCCTAATACACCCTAAATGTTCAATTAATTTTATCAATAATTATCAAGATCTGAATATTCAAAACATGAATGCAACCAAATTTAAAAGAAATAAAATTTGTACAAGTAGAATGGTAATTACTCACTCCACTTCTATATGATTAAGTTAACCTTTAATGAAATTTATTGACTTCCCTTTCCCTTTTCCCTGCAAATTCAAATATTAACTTCAATTAGCTCACCTCATCATAAATATCACGATGTAATTTTTAAATTTATGACTCTCATAAATTATTGCAGGCCTCAATCTTTCTCCTCCTTAATTTGCTCAATCAATGATTCTTTTACCAAATTTATTACGGTCGATTTCTCAATAAAAAAATAGTATTGTATATATAGAGCAGATAAATTGTAAGAATTAGAAGTATAAATATACTTTAAATATAGTTGAACTAATGAATTTTCTCAACTGTAACCCAAAAGTCTCAACTCAATCTGAGCATTACTCTTCTTAAAAATAACACATGCGACAAAGCAAGGGCGAGCAATCATGACTCAATAAACTACTCAAAATATGCTACAGTTTTCAATATAAAAAATTAATATCTATTCAAAATAGATAAATCAAATTTGATAAAATATAATGCATAGTATTTATCATAGTGCCAATACAAGAAATTATAACTATAGTAAGCATATGCCAGGTATCATTATAAGCAATATAATATTAGAAATACAATAAAAGAAAATAAAATCAATTTTTTTTTCTTTATTTGACTTATTTTATGATTTTTCCTTTGCTCCTATCTTTATTTCCACTTACACTTCCACTTGTTCATGTTTCTCCTTTATCCTCTATATCTCCACTTCCACTTTTAGATTAATTTGTTCATATTTCCCCTTTATTCCTTATATCTCAACATCTACTTATACATTTACTTGTTCACATCTTTTTAGTCGTACCAACCATATGAGGATAATTACATAAACCCATAATCTCTTATAACTATTCGATTGCACATAACATACAACCACCCAGCTAAAATCGCTTACACTTTCCCAATTTATTTTTCGATTGATTTCTCCAAAACATTCTATCTATACATAAAAAGTTACAAGGTGAAAAGTTTGTAAAACTCTGCAAATCTAAGTTAGCATCCAATTTTATAAATAAAATATTCAAAATTTATAAAAATGGGTGAAATTGAAAAATATGCACCTTAGTTTGATTTTTATATGGAACCTCCTATTGCTCCAATTTGAGTTATTTATTCATACATACAAATTTATTTATTTTTAATCATTCCATCTTATTTTGCCCACTTTAATTAAATATTGCTAGTGTTTAGCTTTCTGGGTTGCTGGTGTCTAGAGTTCTGGTCAAATTAGAAGTAAGAAATAATTTTGGATTGGCTTCATATTTAATGGCTACTAATACATAGTTGATTTTAAAGTATTCCAACTTATTATTCTTTTACAAAGCATTTAGTTCATATTCCAACTTATTATTCTTTTACAAAGCATTTAGTCACAACTTTTTATAATGCTTTCAGACACCCAAAACTGTAAAAACCTAACAATTGTGATATTAGGGATATTTCATTTGAAGGAATTTATCTCTTATTGCAATGATGTCAATTCCATCTACTTTTGATGTGGCTTTATAGTTAAAAGAATCATTAGCTTCCTATGTTATTTGCCAAGTCCATACATATTCTCACATAAGTGGTGACATTGTTCTTTTTGGTGTTATTATTTCAGATGTCCACCATAATGTTAGGGCTATTGACAATATAGAATATTTTCTAATGATATTTGATGTTAGGAACATAACTTATGCTCACCATGATAAGCAAATTTGCTAACCATGAAAACAAATTATTTGCATGTTCACTTAGCTATTCAAGTTGCATACAACTTAGATTCACTTTTATTAATTTACTTTGATTTGAGTATAGGTAAGGGTGTCAGTTTGGATTGACATGTTAGATTCCAGTCCAACCAAAAGTTGACTCAACATGACCCAATTAATCCGAAGATGATCCATTTAACCTAATTAATATTACCCAAACACATCTAACTGATCATTTTATGTTATTTTCAAATTATGATTTCTAATAATTGAACCTGACCAAATAATAATTGAATTTCTAACTTGGACATGAGCCTAACTTGAAAAAAAAATAATTGGATCAACCCAAACCTGCACTCTTTGAATCAAATTGTTTATTAGAGTACTTTACACACACAAATGTAGAGTTCTCATTAATTGATTGTTAATAATATATTAAGTTTGAGGTTAGAAGGGCTTTGTTATTTATCAGCACTTCTGGTGGCAACAAATGACATTAATATTTATTTTAGAGGTCTACTTGCAAATTAGACATTTTTCTGATGATTCTCAATCTGTACCAACAAGGAATGATGATTTGACTGATGTATTCATATCTATCATATTTATGTCAAGATGTTATGATGAATTTGGTTTTTATAACAATTTGAATGTGTTGGTAGCACTTCAATAGATTGATTCTATAAATGACCAACATTGCAAGCATATTGGTGGTAATGTGTCATAGTCAAATGTCATTAAATTAAAATAAATAAAAAAAGGAGATGTCTCTTAACTCAAATATAGAGAAACAGAGTTAAAATTTGCAACAATTATATAGAATCATTCCTCTCCAGAAGACAATTAGAGATAATTATGATTCATATTTTTAGTAAGAGGTCATGCTTAATTAAATATCATGTCATAATTTTCGACATCCAAAAAAGTCCCACATCTTTGGACAATTAACAGTGACTTAACAACAGTATGTTCAAGATGGACCAAAGATACTCATTTCCATTTCAGAAAAAAACAGTATTACTGATAATCTTTGTCAGAATTTCCACAATAGACAACAGTCCCTAAAGTAGAGGTCTCTTCAGTACTATAACTTGGGTGATTTTATTGTTTTGATCATAATCATGAAAATTTTGTTAACTACATAATTTTCAATAGAACTATATCAAAATTTAAATGTATGTTTTTATAATTCCATAGGCAAGGAGGAAGTAAATCAGAGTAAATTTGAATGGATTTAGCTTCATTCAGCCTTTCAGATAACGGTGTCTAGGAAAATGTTGAAGAAAGGCTCCTGCAGCATACCATTTAGATGAAATCAGATCTAAATTTTCTCCATCTTTCCAACTATTTTCTATGAGATTGATGATATTTGTTTAAAGATGAAAACCAATTTTTGTTTTTCATGAAATTCTACATCTTTTATGGAGCTTAGATTATTGGAATTCTGTGTCAAACAAAGTTCGCTAATTTATTAAACTTGACATCCAAACACAATAGTCTGAGAAAAATCAACCAAATTTTAGGATATTAAAAGGCAATTTGTTAAGAAAAGGGCTCAAAATTGCATTTGAAAACCAACGGAGAAATATATATATATATAATTGAATAGTAATCAGTATTACAGGAATCGTATGACAACCTATACATAAATAACAGCTTATTAAAGATATAAGAAGATAAATGTAATATAAAAAAATGATTACAAATAGAAATGATATTTCTTTAACTGTTTGAAGATTACTTAACCCAATAAACTATTCAGGCAAATATAGTATGCTTATGTAACCTGGCGATTTGAAATTTCAGCGGCTCCCCTCCAAGCCTCCAGAAAAATGTTATCTGATTAAAAATAAAGCTCAGATTAAAAGAACGATCAAATATGACATCAAATAAATCAGAAGCAGACAATTACACACCAAAAAAAAAAAAAAAAAATCATATCTTGAAAATATATAATATATATATA